GGGGGGGGGGGGGATGAGAGCAAAAGGAGGACGGCCGGACGAAGAGAGGGACGCACGTCTCGCCAGTCACCACACTGGACAGGGGAATGGCCTCGCGGAGCTTGTCCTCATCGAGCATGACATCGAACACGCCGGTTCCCACCGGCGACAGCTGGCCCAGAAGGATGTTCTCCGAGACACCCTGCATGCGGTCGATCTCCGCATGGGCCGCCGCCTCCAGCAGAACATCCACGGTCTCCTCGTAGGAAGACCGCATCAGGGCACCGGTGGAATTGCGGTTGAAGCCATGGCGGTTGATCGGCATCAGGAAGCCACGGTAGGTCATCACGTCGCACAGCAGGCCCAGGTGGTGGTAGTTGACGTAGTTCCCGTCGAACTCGATGACCCGCTTCAACTCCAGCAGCAGGGTCTGCCGAGCGGCCTCGATGCCCAAAACTTCGCACGTCTCGACGATGTTGTTGGTGACGGTGTTGCGGAACTCCACAAACTCGCTGGACAGGACATCCCGCATGTTGGATCCGGTGGTGACCAGGTAGTTCTCGGCCGGCCCGGAGGGGGTCAGCCCGCCGTCGACCGTGATGCTGGGGTTCTGGATCTTGTCGATCTTCACCTGCTTGATCTTGTCGATGCCCTTGAGCACCACCTTGGACAGGAGCTTGCGCTCGTACTGGATGAGGATCTTGTCCCCGGGGAAGTTCTGGTCCATGGAGTCGGAGGTGTTGCGGATGCTGATGCGCAGGACCAGCTTCTCGTAGTTGTCGTGCGAGTGCATCAGGACGAAGTCGCTGGCCGGCACTAGGTGCTCGGCGATCTTGCCGGCCACCTCGTCCATGGAACAGCGCTTGGCCTCCATCGCCGAGCGGTCCAGCTCCAGGCGCAGCACCCAGGGGGAAAGGGAGGCGGGATCCACGTTCTGTTGGCCGGCGAGCCGAAGCGGGAGAGAAAGAGGGAAACGGGATTAGGGGGGAGAAAAAAAAAGAGGGATGTACCAAAAAAAGGGGGAAAAGGAAAAGAACGAAGAGGAAACAGCCCACTACCCCCGCCACCGCCACCACACACACACACACAGAGCCACTCTCGGGAGGACATACCTCCGTGGCGAAGAACAGCTGGATGAAATCGTCATCCGCCTCGACCACCGAGGCGTTGGCCTGGTCCGGATCGTAGATCACCTGGGACTTGTGGGTGACCTTGGCCAGGGTGGTGTGCTCGATGGCCGCCAGCGCCTTGTGAGCCTGCTTCTCCGAGTGGTTGAACTCATCCACCAGCATGATGGACATGGACGGGGTCTTGATGGACCGGGCCACATCGATCAGCTCCCGCAGTCGGGGGACACCGAGAGTGATGTTCTTGGCGCCGATACCGGCCGAGTGGAAGGTGTTCAGGGTCATCTGGGTGGCCGGCTCACCGATGGACTGCGCGGCGATGGTGCCCACCGCCTCGCCCGGGTGGATGATGGAATCCCGGAAGCGGCTCTCAATCTGGTGGATGACCCACTGGAAGGAGCTCCGATCGAAGCGGAATTCCGCCACCACCCGGCGCACGGACAGATACTGGCGGATGAGGATCCGGAAGAGCATGGTGGCATTGCGGTTGGCCGTTCGACTGATGGGGTCGTCGCCGGAGATGACCACAATCCGGTCGCACAGATTGGCCACCTCTTCGACAATCTGCACCGGCGACAGGTCGCAGATGAGGGTGTCATTGTGCTGGCGCATGCGCCGCGAGTGGCGGATCAGCCGCAGGACATTCACCGGCAGGTAGCACTTGTCCTCGCGCAGCCGCGGGAAGATGAACTCCTGCAGCGTGGCCCGGTCCTCCAGCAGCTGGTTGTACTCGGTGGTCAGGGCATCCTGCACGGTCTTGATGTTGGCCATGACGAACTGGGAGACCTGTGGTGGAAGATTGGCAAATGTGTGTGTGTGTGTGTGTGCGCGCGTGTGTGCATGTGCGAGCATATGTCCAGTCATGCATGCACGGGTGAAGGCGATGTGGTAAGTATGCGTGGACAGCGGGAAGGTGGCCAGTCCGCTCACTCGGTGGCCAGCCCCCCTCCCCCCTCCCCCAAGGGGAGGAGCTATGCGCAGCACGCCCGAGGAACAGCAAAAGAAAAAAAAGAAAAAAAGAAAAAAAAGGTCGAATGACCAAGAGCACAGGCCATCACATGCGGGACAAAGGGCGTACCGTGTTCGAGACATAGTTGTTGGCCGCCTTGAAGAGCGGGTCCTGCAGGAGGTTGATCCGGTAGCGCCCGGCAAATTCCTCATTCGTCAGGGACATCAGGTCCAGCTTCTGGTGCTCGACAAACTGGGCATTCAGGCCATCCTCACCATAGCAGAACTGAATCACCTCGCCGAGGGAATTCCGCACGGTCCCATCATACCGGACCATGATGTCCTCCATGGCCTTGATCAGTCGACGCTGGATGTAACCCGTCTCGGCGGTCTTGACGGCCGTGTCAATCAGCCCCTCACGACCACCCATGGTGTGGAAGAAGAACTCCATCGGGTTGAGCCCCTCGATGTAGCTGCTCTCGACGAAGCCACGGGAATCGGCACTGAAATCGTCCTTGGTGAAGTGCGGCAGGGTCCGATCCCGGAAGCCAAAGGGAATGCGCTTGCCCTCGACATTTTGCTGGCCGACACAGGCGGAAATCTGGGAAATATTGATCGACGAACCCTTGGACCCGGCGTCCACCATGGCACGGAAGTTGTTGAAGGGCTGCAGGTACTTGAGGGAGATCTTACCGGCCTCCGAACGGACCATGGACAACTCGGCATTGGCCAGGCCCTCCAGCGTGTCGCGGATGGTCATACCACGACCCTCCTTCAGGTCTCCGTGAATGGCATTGTTGATCTCGCCGATGACCTTCACACGGGCCGTGCGGATGGTGGAGGTGATCTTGTCCACGGCCGACTGGGGAATCATGCCGTCACCGATGCCCACACTGAACCCATGGAAGAGCAGCCAGTTGTTGACGATGTACTGGATGTTGGTCATGAACTCGGCCGCCACATTGGGCTTGTTGCTGTACTCAATGCAAATCACATGGATGAGACCGCCCTGTGCCGAACCGACGGTCTTCTTGCACACCATGCCCGACAGGAGGACACTGTTGTCGATGACCACGCGCGTGTCGCCCGGGGTCAGGTGCTGGGTAATCGGATCGGCATCCTCCTCCTCATTGTGCGTGGAGTGATTGGTGGAGAGACTGATGTCCGGCGGGATGATCATGGACAGCAGCTGCTTGCCGGTCCACAGGGGCTTGGGCTTGAGGATGGCCGGAATCGGCACCACCCCCTTCCAGTGGGGGAACCACATGAGCAGGTTCATGACCAGATGCTTCTCCAGGAAGCAATCCCGCCGACTGAAGAGATTGACCGCCAGCAGGGAATCCTGCACAATACCCATGACCGGCTTGTTGGCCTGCGGCGAGACAATCTGCGTCGGGACCATGGCCAACTTCAGGAGCTCGGTCCGGGCCTCGATGGTTTGCGGCACGTGGAGGTTCATCTCATCGCCATCGAAATCGGCGTTGTACGGCGTGGTCACCGAAAGATTCAGCCGGAAGGTACTGAACGGCATGACCTTGACCCGGTGGCCCATCATGGACATCTTGTGCAAGGAGGGCTGACGATTGAAGAGAACCAGGTCGTCATCCCGGATGTACCGGTCCACGATGTCGCCATATTGCAGCTGCACGGCCGAGGTGTCATGCACGCGGGCCAGATCCCGTCGCGGGCCATTGGCGCTGGTGACATACCGCGCGCCGGGGTACGCCTGCGGGCCGGCCTGCACCAGGCGCGTCAGCTCCTCGTGATTGAGCGGGGTCACTCGCTCCGGGAAGGTGAGGTTGGCGGCGATGGACCGCGGCACGCCCACCTGGTCCAGGGCCAGGCTCGGGTCCGGGCCGATGACCGTACGCGCGGAGAAGTTCACACGCTTGCCCATGAGATTGTGCCGGATGCGGCCCTCCTTGCCCTTGAGACGCTGGGTGATGGCCTTGATCGGGCGACCGGTCTTCAGGTTGAACTTCGGGTCTTGGTGGTTGTCCATGTAGGACTTGATGTAGTACTGCAGGTTGATGAGCATCTTGGCCCGGTCGCGCTCACTCTGCTGGGTGTTGGCGATCATGTTGTTGCGCTTGATGATCTCCCGCAGGGCAAACACCAAGTCGTCATTGCTCTTCTTGGTGCCCTCGACCGCCACACTGGGCCGGACCTGGGGCGGGGGGATGGGCAGCTTCTCGATGACCATCCACTCGGGGCGCGCATGCACCGGGTCGAAGCCCAACGCGTCGATATCCTCGTCGGTGATGTTCTTCATGATGCGCATGGCAATCTCCGGCGTCAGCATGTCATGCTGGTTGTGGCCGTGCGAGGCGCCGGCCGCCTCGTCGCCCTCGTCCCCGGCGGACACCTGCTTCTTGGAGGTGTACATGAAGCCGAAGGACATCTTGTCATACTTGAACAGGCGCTGGTACTGCTCGCAGGCGTCGCACTTGCGCCGGGTCTTGGCCAGGTCCGACACCCGCTGGAGTCGATGCCGGCCGGTGAAGCGCGCCAGGATGTCCTTGCACGCCGGGTCGTCCTTCTTCACCAGCAGGGCCGAGCAGGACCCGCACACACTGCGCAGGACCCGCATCAGCTTGGACTTGAAGCCCAGGTGGAAGACCGGGCGCACGAGGTCCAGGTGCCCGAAGTGCCCGGGGCACTCGGTGGTCATCTCGCACGTGGCGCACTGGTGGTCCTGCGAGTCGGGGCCGAGTCGAGGGTCGAACAGTCCGCCGCTGGGGAAGGGGGGAGCAGGAGGGGGGGGGGCAGATAGGATGGGAGGGGGGAGAGAAAGAGTGGGAGGGAGAGAGAAAGAGTGAGAGGGGCCGAGCAAGGAGAGGAAGATGCCAGGAGAGGAAGATGCCAGGAAAGGAAGATGCCAGGAAAGGAAGATGCCAGGAGGAAGAGGGGGGCAGACGGGGGCCACGGGAAAGCAGATAGGGACATCAGCACAAGCGAGCGAAAGCAGGAGAGAGCAGGTGATGGAGCAGCTCGCGCGCGCGCGCGCGCGCACAGGCGCGCAGATGCGGCACGCACTGAATGGGCGCCCCGGTGGCCGGGTCATAGAGCTCGGCATGCTGAATGCAGCAGACGGACATGTCGCTCTGTGGAGGGGGTCGGAGGGAGGGGGGGCGATTTGTGAGCGGGGTCGTATAGGGGTGGGCCAGGACGCAGGCAACACGGCGCATACAATCTCCTGGGGCGAGAAGAGACCGAACTGGACGGCCTTCACGCTCTTGCGGGGGGCGGGCGACGGCTCCTCCATGGTGGTGGTAATGGGGCGCGGGCCGGCTGTCGGGAGAGACGTTCGGAGGGGGGGGGGGGAGAGCCGGGCGAAGGGGCCGGAGACCACGGACCGGGGACGAGGGGCGCGCAGACGGTGAGCGAGGACTCGGAGGGAGGGGGGCGGGGGCGGGGGCACCAAGCCGAGAATGCTGGGGGGGGGGGGGAATGGAAACGCACGGTGTCTTCGGCCGGTTCAGGCGAAGGGGAAAGCGTAGAAAAAAAGGGGGGCGAGAAAGGGGCCCTGTGGATGAGCGGGGGGGAGTGGGGGGAGGTGGGA